GGGAGCAAGAAGGAAAGGATGGAAGGAGGTGGGAGGAAGCACCGGGCCGCGGCTGCCGGCTCAGAGGCGCTGCGCGCGGCGCACACGGGAGCCGGGCCCGCCTAGGGCGCGGGACCAGGCGTCCCGGGTCGACCCGGTTCTGGGCGCGCTGGATATGGGGCTCGTTACGTCTCCTGCTTGTTGGAGAAGAGGAAAAAGCTAGGTGCCACCAACAGAAAGAGCATCCTAGGGCCGACCCGCTTAGCCTTGCCCTCGAGGCTTCGAGCTTGGCGCTGCCTCCTGGGCTCCCGGCTCTCGCCAGCTGGAGCCCCTCCCTCGGCCCCCCGCAAACCCCTCCTCTGCTCACCTGTCGGTTTCCCAGCGCGGATCCAATATCCCGGCGGAGAAATGAGGGGTCTGACAGCTGTCTGTGCGGCCGCTCGCCACATTTCATTAACTGGAAGCTGGAGCCGGCGGAGGGTGGGGGCCAGGGAGAGCAACAGGAGGTGGAGAGGGAGGCTAGGGCGAGGAGACGCACCTGGCCAGGGGTCAAGGGCTGAGGAAGTAAGTCAGCAGCGCGATCTGGCCTGACAAACACCTTGCAAACAATCACTACCCTTCCCTGTGGGAGTCAGCGCGGCCCTTTGAGCCCAAGGCTGTACAGAGCTGCGGTGCCGGAGGGGAATGGAAGCCCTAGGCCGGATGGCACACTGACCCTCTCACCTTGTGGCCGAGGCCTGTGGAGCAATGGGGCAAAGGGTGCGCAGCATCTTGGGCCATGACTGGTTCCCCACCCATGGTGTGAGGAGAGCGGTCCTCAGCCCTCCTGGCCAGCTTTCCTCTCATTCACCTCTTGATAACATTTTCCTCCGATTTGTTTGGTTTCTTTCTCCATCCCTTTTCTCTGCCCACTCCTCTTCCTTCTGAACAACTCCCCTCCGCTGCTAACTTCTGCCAACCGTTAGCTAACAATTGAGCACCTGTTGGGTGTCAGGCTCCACAGCGCTGGGGTGAGGGATCAGGGACACTGAGCCAACTGCCGGCCCCACACACATAGGTCTCCCCTGAGACTCGTTCAAATCTCGCCCCCCACTCCTGTCCTGCTTCTTTCACCCTTCCACTGCCTCCGGTGCCATTTCTCTTCTCTGGGGCACAGAGATCAAAACTCGAGTCCTAGGCCTGCCACTTGCAGGGTGATACAGGACAAGCCATGGTCTCCTTTCTGGGACCAGTTTCCTCATCTGTAAAATGGAGACAAATATATCCACCACTCAGGGGTGCTTCGAGGACGTAGTAAGAACTTGCATATAAAAGCCCTACAATACAGTATTATTTCCCTTTCCATGTTATCCCCTGTCCCCTCAGGTGTGCAAAGTTCTTTTCTCTTCATACCAGGCGTCTGGTACCAGGCAACCCAGGCTGCTTCCAGCTCTGCATAATCTTAGATGTGGGAACAGGAAGCCAGAATGTTTGTGAGGGGATGGGGGCCACGCTATGAATTACCCTGAAAAGTGAGGAAGGAGAGAGTGCAAGGAAACAAAAGTGCTTTCTTAGATCTTAATGTGACGTCAGCCAGCTGGTTCCTCTCCTCTTACAAACGAGGAAACTGAGGCCTGTGGAGGTTACACTGCAAGTGACAGGGACAGGTCACACTGCTAGGATCTTTCCTCCCATGAGCCCCCTATTGTTCATCTCCTCACTCTTCTTCTTCCCTTGAGCGGGCCTGGGTCAGTGACAAGGAGTGTGGGAGAAGGAACAAAAAGAGAGAACCTTCAAGGAGCCAGGACCTTTCCACTAGACTTCATAAAATTTTAAAACGAAAACTTCCTCAGAGTAGAAGGCACATATCACATGCAAATCATATGCTAATCACATGCTAATCCAAAGTCTGGTCCTCAGAACTCTGACACACACCTGGCTGTAAGCTCTGGGGGAAATTCTTGGGAGACCCCTGGGTCCCAGGGCAAGAGAGACAAGAGATGTGTTCCATTTAGGCTCAGGTTATGGAGTTAGGATTCATTTTAGGATTGAAGAGGAGTCAAGTGTATAATTTGGAATTAGGATCAGGGTTAGTGCAGAGTCAAGGATGGAGGTTAAGGTAAGATTCAGATTGGGCTGTGCTTTTATTTTATTTATTTTGAAGTAAGCTCTATGCCCAATGTGGGGCTTGAACTCATGGCCCCAAGATCAAGAGTCACACGCTCCACCGACTGAGCCAGGCAGGCGCTCCTGGGCTGTGCTTTTACATAGGGGAGTCTAGGGGACTCTTTAAAGGCCTCCTCTCTCCTCCCATTCCCCCATCAGACTCATCCTCACCTCCACAGCCCTTGCTATGTCCTGTAGCAGACCCTTCTCTGCCTACTTCCCACTCCCAACCACACCACCTTCTTGGGGCCTCCCAGTTTGGCTGCCTGAGGAGCTCTGGATAAATTGTCCCAGATCCCAGCCTGGGCCTTGGCATTTCCTCTTGAGCCCAGACACTTGGCTCCTGGCCCCCGGAGCACCGGCCGGCCTTGACCCTACCCAGGTCCCTCCTCGGCCGAATGTGACAGCTGCAAAGGAAGCAATAAGGACCTGGTGAGCTGGCAGCTTCATTCCAGAGCGTGGGGAAAGAGCAACAGAACATGAATAAATTCATGGAGCTGGCCCCTCGGCTCCCTGTGAGCCAAGCCTGCTCCCCCCACCACACAGACCCGCTGCCGCCTGCAGCCCTGCTGGTCACCGCAGCTCACAGCCTGGGCCGGGGACGGGAGGAGAAGGGACGCTCCAGAGAGAAGAGGGCTGGGACCTGAAAGGGGCTGAGGTGAGGGGCTCAAAAAGAGGGCCTTGGTGAGTAGGAGAGTGGGGTGGGGAGTGGGGCTGAGCAGTGAGGGCTTCTGGTCAGTGGAGGGAGGGCAGGAGAGGAGGGAGGAGGAAGGAGAGGGTGGCAGGACCTGGGGACGAAGGGGCCTGAAGATCGGGCAGGGTAGGCCAGCGTGAGCCCTGGCCTGTTCTCTCCTCTCTGATCCATCCATCATCCAGCCTGGGGGAGCAGTTCCGGAATTAGACATGCACGGGGCCGACATGGCCCTCAGCCCCCCGAGGAAGACAAATGGCGACAAAGACCTTGAATAAAATTTGTATTTATGGTTGGAGGAGGAGGCCCCTCCCCCACTGACTGCCAATCCTTTCTCTCCCAACCCTTTCAAGCATGTAGGGGCCTCTCTCGACACTGGCCCAGCCTCAGCAACCTCTTTCTTCCTGCACCATTATGGGATGGGAGGTGCAGGGAAGGGGTACGGAAAATGAGATGAGGGAATCATCTTTTGCCCAATAATCATGCCCTGGTGTGCCCTGTGCCTTCCATTTGCACAACTTATTCCTATATATCACAGTCCTGGCCTATCCTAGTGAATAAGAGGTCCTTTGCAGCTGCACACCTCCAGGGTCTCCAAACATCCTCACTTTTGCCCCTTTTCCAAACTTCTGCCCCTGGAGTCCCTTGTGAGCAAGAAATTTCCCCCAGAGGTGCCAAACCCTAAAGAAGGATGAAGCCACTGGCTTTTTTCATGGACCCTGACCCCTCACAGAGAGGGATCTATCAAAGCTTGGGTCCCCTCTTGGTCACTCGGAATGACAGAAACAGTCACCTCTCACAGGAGGGCGCCCAGCATTTAATCTGCATTTTAGTTGTGTTAATTTGCATCACCAACTTCAAATCCCTTCCTCAAACATTTGCTACGTGGGGACCAGTTTCTTTGGGTTTCCATCGAAACACAGACTTTTAGGAAGGGAAAAGAGGCAGAGATGCTGGGGCTGGACAAGGTCTAGGACCAGGGCAGGGGTGGTGCTAGGCTGGGCTGGGCAGGGCAGCACAAGTGAGCCGATAGCTGCTTTCTGACTCTTTCTCCCCAGCAGGTTCTCTACTCTTCAGTCCTAAGGAGAGATGGCATTCGTGGGGTCCCACATGTAGAGACTAAGAGGAAGCCAAATACAGAAACCTCCCTTCAACCAGCCCTCATACACACACACACACACAAAGACAACACACAATCCACAATCCCACTCACCCAGGAACACACCAGACCAGGGTCCCATGGCCCGACCGCACTTGCCAGCATACTGTCACAATGCACAGACCCAGAGCATACCACTCTGTTGGAAAAACCGCCCCGCCCCCGCATCTTCCCCACAGTTGATATGTCACATTGGAGTCCGAACACGGACCTGGGTGTCTCTCCGCAGCGCGCCATTTACATTTCTCTCTCGATCTGTCAACCTGTCTCAGCCCTTGTCTCTCTCTCTCTATCTCTGTCTCTCCCCTCTCCCCCTCCTGGGCCTGTCAGTTAGTCTCTTTTCGAAGCTTTGTCTCTGTCTCTGCGTCTCTAGCTGGCTTTCTGTCTCTTTGATGTCTCTGTCGCTCCTTCTCTGCTTTCCTGTCGGTTTCCTGCTCGCTCCCCCAGACTGATCTGTTTTCTCTCTCTCTCCCTCACCCTCTGCTCTGCTCTGCCCTCCCCCCACCCCCCACCCACCAACACTGGGGGTCGAGGGTGGAGGTGGCTGGAAATTTGCCTTTTCCAGTTCAGGCCAACATGTACTCATTGAACCCTTTACCAAATGTTAGTGGGTCACGGGCACTGAGGGGCGTGGGGTGGCGAATTTCTTTTATTCACCCTTCTTGTTATGTTTGTGGGCTTTTCTTTTCTTTTGGTGGAGGGCGCTTTTTAGCTCTGGAATCCACCTCTGTCTTTTTTTCTGCGTGTATCTAGACCCCTTTTTTATCCCATATCTATTTCTGGCTTCCTCTGGAATCCAGGAATACCGAACTCTGGGTGCGGTGAAAGTAAGGATAGGGTGGGGGCAGCGAACCCCTGCAGAATCCGCTCAGAACCAGGCAGGCACCGAGAAGCTGGGGGGACGCGGGTGGGGGCCTTTGCCTGCCCCGCCCCCGCGCTTCCCACTCTGGGCGCCAGGGGTCGCTCCGCCCCGGGCCGCTTATAGAGGCTCCAGCCGCGCAGCGGCTCACACCACCCGCACTGCCGCCCCGGGAGGGAGGGGAGGAAGGTTAGGGACGCAGAGAGGGAGAGCTCTAGCTGGGGAGAAACGCGGGGCCAGGCTCTAGCAGGGTCTGGGGCCGTGGCTGGGGTAGAGAGGCGCGTCAGTGCTCTCCAAGAACCAGAGCGCAAACCTCCACGGAGGTCGCGTCCGGTGGGCGCCACCCGCAGCGCAGAGCCCGGGACGTCCAGAGAGCGGAGAGTAGTCCCCTGCTCCGGCCGGGAGCGATCCGTCTGGGTAGCCGGGGACCTAGGCGCCGCCATCCTTGAGAAGGCAGCTGTCCGGAAAGCAGGCATCCTAGATCTGTAAGAAACCAGCCGTCCGAGAAGCCGCTGATTTCAGGCGCCCGGGGACGTTAGGCTGCACAGGAGGGTAATAGAGGACCGCGGGTTTTGAACCGTCGGGAGGCCCCTGGCCCAACTTACGGGGCGGGTGGGGGGGGGAACCTCCGCCTTGACGGAAGGTTTGGGGAACGGCACCGCTGAGGCGGGAGCCCGCAGGGGCGGGGGGGCCGGGCGCAGCCGTCGGGGGGGTCCCGACCCAAGCGCGAGCCCGGCCACCGCCTCCGGGGCCCGCGGAGAGCCCCGGGCCTCCGCCGCCATTGCGCCAAAGAGTGAGGAGGATCTGCTGGCCCTGGCCGCGTCGCGGCTGAGCCGCCGCAAGCGGGTGGCGGGCGCGGCCGTCGGGGTGGCCATGGTGCTGCTGCTGCTGGTGGCCATTCCGCTGCTGGTGCACAGCTCCCGCGGGCCGGCGCACTATGAGATGCTGGGTCGCTGCCGCATGGTGTGCGACCCACACGGGCCTCGAGGCCCTGGACCCGACGGCGCGCCCTCCTCCGTGCCCCCCTTCCCTCCCGGCGCCAAGGGAGAGGTGGGCAGGCGCGGGAAGGCAGGTCTGCGAGGGCCACCGGGACCCCCAGGTCCCAGAGGGCCTCCAGGAGAGCCGGGCAGGCCAGGTCCACCAGGTCCTCCCGGCCCAGGCCCTGGCGGGGTGGCGCCCCCTGCCGGCTACGTGCCTCGCATTGCCTTCTACGCGGGTCTGCGGCGGCCACACGAAGGTTATGAGGTGCTGCGCTTCGACGACGTGGTGACCAACGTGGGAAACGCTTACGAGGCGGCCAGCGGCAAGTTCACCTGCCCCATGCCAGGTGTCTACTTCTTCGCTTACCATGTGCTCATGCGCGGCGGTGACGGCACCAGCATGTGGGCCGACCTGATGAAGAATGGACAGGTGAGATGCCCCCACCCCAGGCCCAGAGGCGACAGGGTAGCTTTCTAGATCTCCCTGCACTCATTACATTGGAGGGCTGCATTCGAACCCCTCTCCCAACAACGTCATTGAGTCTAGAAACGCAGGGCTGCCAAGAACTTATGAATCCTTTCATCTAGCCAAAGAGGAATTAGCTGCCAAAGAAAGGAAATGACCTGCCCAGGGTCTCAACGAGCATTAGGAATGGTGTCAGAATCAGAACTCGGGACACAAAGCTTAATGTCTCTACAGCTGCTATTTCACACTCCAACTATATAGGCAACCCTACACCAAACTTGTTTGGTGTCTTTCCCTGCCAGTTATCCTGTCTTTGGTCACCCTCTCTCCTGAGACAGGTCTTCTGGCTTTTGGGTTTCTCAGCCTCACCATGGTCGAGTTACCTGGAGTCTGGCTCCTTCAAATTAGAATGGAATCCGGATCTCTGGCCATGGGCTGTCAGCAGCTGTTCTCATGTGGGGGCATTTAGCTTGGATTTTTGAGTAGAACATAAAAAAGAACGCATTCGCCCAGGGCCTGGGACCAATTCTACAGCTGGCCTTACCCTAATACTAATACTGAGTCAGTAGGCAGAGGTGGAAATGATGTGGCAGCTCAGGGGCCAGCCAGGCGGCATGACAGAAGGGATTTGGAGGGGGAAAGAGGCAAAGGGCAGATCAAGCAGAAGCTTTGGCCCCAGGCCTGGTTCTGTAGGCCCCACATCTTCCCTGGCAACCTCTGTCCTCCAGGTTCTGCTACTCCCTGCCCCTGTGGTCAGAGTCGGAGTCACTGCCACCTTGGCTTGGGAGAATAGCTCCAAGGACTCAGCTGGAGGGCCGGGACACACATAGAGGGAACGAGAAGCCGCAGGGGCGGGGGTTGGGGAGGTGCCTGGGCCCCACAAATCGCAGGAGGTAAGACTGGGGCTGAGCAGTGACCTCCGAATGCCCCGCACCATGGGGTGGTGTTGACCGTGGTGCATCGGGCCTGCTGGTCTTGGTGTCCGAACCCAGGTCCTGCTACGGCTGCCGGCTGCCTCACCCTCCAGCTCCAGGACTAGTAGGCACTGCATTGGGGTCTCCTCCCAGCAGGGTCACCTCAGGAACCCAAGAAAAGAGAGTGTGTATGTGTGTCTGTATGGGAGTGAGGGCTGTATGTGTGTAAGGGAGTGAGAGCGTGTGTGCGTGATGTGAGGTTCTGTGGGTGCAGGGTGCCAAGGTGTGAAAATAGAGCAGCGTCTATGTGCATGTGGCACTGAGTAGGTGTGTGTGGTCTATGCAGGGTGTCGGTGAGCAGTTGGAGGGGGCAAGTGTCTATCTAGAGTGTGCCGGTTTCTGAGGGAGCGGGGGCCCGCGGCTCCCACTCTGTATTCTGCGGCGCGGGCGCTGCGGCCCTGGGGACGGTAAATAGTGATTAGAATAATGATGAATAATTAATGAGTTAATAACCAGCCCCCGCGGGACGGGAAGAGGGGGGCTGGGGAAGGGGCTGGGCGCCGGAGGCGACCAGCAGCGAGGCCAGAGGGAAGGAGGGGTTACCTGTTGGGGCAGAAGGCGACCCCCATGTCATGGCGCAGGTGGGGGCTAGAAGGGGAAAGGGCACCCAGAGGCGAGAATGCATCATTGCACCTTCCCATGGCCCGCACCCTTGCTTGCATACATACCGACACACCTGTGCCCTATCACTGAGGGGAGGGAATCCAAGTTTAGGAGGTCAGAGCAGGTTCAGAATGTTAGAAGTTATCCTACAGCCTAATTTTATTGTTTAAATAATAGCAAACCCTATATAGTGCTGTCTAGGTGCTAAGTACTATTCTAACACATTTCACACGTAGTAACTCACTTAATCCTAATAACCTTATGAGGTAGGCTCTATTATTACCTCCCATCTTATAATTCACGTTGACGACCAGAGCAGGCCTGAAACTTGGCCGAGTCGCACAGCTGGTAAATGGCAGTGCCTGGGAAGCTCAGCGATCTCCTGCCTTCTCCTTGTCCTCCCCAGCCCCTGCAGCCTGCTACCCTCTAGCCGCCTTCACAGGCCCAGCTGCGCCTACTCCGCCCGACGCTTCTCTCCACCCTCAGCTCCGCACGGGCGTGAGTGGGTTGTTCTGTTCTCCCCCGCTAGGTCCGGGCCAGCGCCATTGCTCAGGACGCGGACCAGAACTACGACTACGCCAGCAACAGCGTCATCCTGCACCTGGATGTGGGCGATGAAGTCTTCATCAAGCTGGACGGCGGGAAGGTGCACGGCGGTAACACCAACAAGTACAGCACCTTCTCTGGCTTCATCATCTACCCGGATTGAGCAGGGCCCCATCCCCCGCGCCCCCGCTCGCCCTTCGCCTCCGCTCCCCTCCTCACCCACCTTCAGCCGGTCCCACCCAAGGCGCCATCCTAACCTTCGAGAGCCTGGCGGTGGGGCAGACCCTCCCGCTCCCGGAGGCGGCCGTGCTGGGTGGACTCTTGGCGCTCCGGGGACGCTCCGAGGTCTAAGTGGCCGGGGAGAGGAGGAAGCCGGGCTAAGGAGGAGCAGAGCGGCTCGGGAAGGGACCGCCGGCTTCGGAGTGCGCGCCTGTCAAAGCTGAACCGAGAGGGGCGGAGGTCGGGCCCTCTCTTCTGCTAGGAGCTGGGGAACAGCTTCACCACCCGGAGCTGCAAGCAGAAAGGAAGCCCCGGCATTTGGTGGTGGTGGTGTGTGTGCGGGGATGGAGAGCAGAAACAGGAGCCCATCTAGGTGGGAGGACAGGAAACGTTTGGAGGGGTCAGGCTCGTCCTCTGTCACAACTTTCTCTCCTTCCCTCATCCCCATTTTCAGGCTCCAGGCACCGGCCTTGGCAGCCTTCCTGTGAACTGGAGGAAGGAGTGAATTCTTTCCTAGCATTTAAAACTCATTCTGTACAGTCCCCATTTCACCCCCATTCCACCTAGGCCCTGGGGCTACAGCTGCTGTTGCCTCTTCCAATAAAGCAAAGTTGGAGAATGTGTGTGCCTCTTAACTTGGTGCATAGTGTGGGGAAAAATGGCTGACCCTTTCCCTCACTCCTTTCAAGGACTCTCGCCCTACCACTCTCTGCCAGAGGTAAAGGTTTACTTATTCCTGGCAAGGTCTGTCTCTGGTGGAAAAGAGGAGGGCTTCTTCTGCTCGGATATGGGAAAGGAGGAGTATCAGCTTCAGGAGAGCTTGGAGACCTTGTACTGTAGGGAGACACCAGCCAGAATGACACTAACAAGGGAGGATTCCAGAGATATGGATCTGGTCCTTCTGCTTTCTGCCTGATGCAGGTGGACTTATAAGAAGAGGAGCGCTAGGGGTTGGGGAGTTGCTGATGGCTCCTAGGAGTGGCATTGATCTCAAGAAGCAAAAAGAACAGGTCCCCAAAGGCCCACATTTGCCCCCCGCTCTGGTCCCTACCACCACACACACACACACACACACACACACACACACACACACACACTCATAGAGCTTGCTGAGGGGTGGGGATGGGCAGGAGCGGTCTGCCTTTAGGATAGCTCTTAGGTGAGGGAGCCTGGGGGAGCCCAGGGCCTGCCTCTAAGCTGGAGGACACTGCCACCGTGTGGGCAATTGGAGAGCAACAGTCGTAGCTGGCCTAGGTCAGCCGGGAGGGAAACAGACATTTGGACACTTTAGAAACTTTATTGAGGCGCCTGGGTGGCTCAGTTGGTTGAGCGTCTGACCCGTGGTTTTGGCTCAGGTCATGATCTCTCAGGTTTGTGGAAGGCCCCCGAGTCAGGCTCTGAGGTGAAAGCCCTGGATCTGCTTGGGATTTTCTCTCTCTCTCTCTGCCCCTTCCCTGCTCTCTCTCAAAATAAGTAAATGAACATTTAAAATAAAAAAAGGGGCACCTGAGTGGCTCAGTCGGTTGAACGTCCGACTTCGGCTCAGGTCATGATCTCACGGCTCGGGAGTTCGAGCCCCGCGTCGGGCTCTGTGCTGACAGCTCAGAGCCTGGAGTCTGCTTCGGATTCTGTGTCCCTCTCTCGCTGTGCCCCTCCCTCACTCATGCTGTCTCTCTTTCTCTCAAGAATAAAACATTAAAAAAATAAAATAAAAAAAGAAACTTTATTGAAGGATAATAAATAAGGGCTAAAAGGAAGGCTCATGGCAGGACAGGATGTGGACGCATCATGATAGAGAGTCCTGTGGGGCAGCAGAACCAACTGGAATAAAACACTGGAGAGAGAGACCTTGTCACAGCCCAGCCATCCTTGAACTGTAGCCAACCCTTCCCCACTGACCACTGTAAAGAAGCAGAGGCTTCCCCGCCCCCCTGCCTTCCCTCTCCCCACACCACCCTACTTTCTACAGGCTTGCTGTGCAGGCACAGCTTGGCTGTGAATGGGAGGCTCACCAGGGCGTCCTGCCATTCAAGTAATGTGGCCACAGGGTTGGTGCAGACCCGGGTGGGGCCTGAGGGTGGGGCTCGGCTGGTGTAGAAGGCACATTCATCATCCAGGCGGGCCTCGTGGAAGCAGTGGATGGCAGTCAAACATGCTTTGAGGCGCTGCCTCAGAGCCAGGGTTCGAGGGGCCAGGTTGCTGGGGCCTGAGGGCCGAGGGCCACAGAGACTTGAGGGCAGGCTCTAAACTCCCGTCATATCCAGCGCTTCCCCACTCCCCCACCAAGGGCCAAGAGCAGCACACAGCTCGAGGCGCAACTCTTCCCTTCTTCCCGAAAGAGCGCCAGGCTGGGGCAGGGTAGGTGGGGAAATACAAGCAATGGGACCAGCTGGTGCAAGGTGGGGGCCCACTCCCAGTAAGAGATGAGGACCTCCTTTGTTCACAAGCCCTTCCAGCCAATTCCTTACCTGCCTGGCCTGTTGGGGGCCTCAGTGACCGGAGTGAGTGAATAGGGGGGCTGGCACAGAGTGGGCGTTGGGAGGAGAAGATCAGGTTGGTGGTGGCTGGTGCCCACGGACTGCAGCAGGGCCGTGGGCTGGACTCTGGACTTCTAGGTTCCAGGAAGCAGGCCTCTGATGCCCCAGGCTCTATCCTAGGGGAGGGCTCTAGGAGTCCAGTCTGCCCGTGGGAGTCTGCCTGAAGGGGTCCAGGCTCTACTGGAGGGCGGGGCTCTGATACCTCAGGCTGTTCCTGGACAGGGGATTCTGGTATCCCAGGCTCCCTGCTATGGCTGGACTCTGGGGGCCCTGGCTCTGCTGCAGGGCAGGGCTGAGCTATCTCCAGCTTTGTTCCTGGGCAGGGCTGTGGTTCCCCACACTCCTCTGGGAGGCAGGGCTTTGGTAGCCCAGGGTTCTGTAACAGTCCGGGAGGGTGTAAGTCCCCTGAATTCTTCTCTGGGGCATTGAGAGTTCTAGACATCTCAGCTAGCAGGGGCTGAAGTTCAACCATATCCAGAGAGGAGCCTCCATTCAGGGGGACACACTTGCCCCCTGTGAGCCCTTCTACCTCCTGTCGCAACAGCTGCTGCAGGATACTGATGCGCTGTGAGTGGGAGAAGAGTACCCAGGGTGATGTCAGTGTGTGGGTTCAAGTCTCCACCCACACTGTCCTGTTCCCATACTTCCCTCTCCTGCATCCCCTTCCCTGCTGCGTCACGGCCAATCAGGCATCAAAGCTATTGCCCACAGACCCACCTGCATCTTCAGCTCCTGGAGCTTGGGGGTTGTGCCAGGGTGGGGTCCATGAGGAGCTGCCACAGCGGGTTTCCCAGGACCCTCATGCAAACTCACGCAGCTCTCCTGGTCAAATAACCGGATTGCAATCTGCTCCTGCCACAGGGGAGGAGAGGGGCTGTGTGAGGAAGCCAGGCTGGGGCAGGAAGACCAGGTTCCACAAAGAGGTCCACAAAGAAGGAATCAGGTTAGTTGAGAGGCCCTAAACAGAGATTAGGAGGGGCAGCAGAGGAGCAGGGAGAGTTGGAGAGTTGGTAGCTTTTCCAGAGAGCCCACGTGCCTGAAACTGCTGGGCTCAGGCCAACAGGACACAGAGCGGGATCTCAGCATGGAAAGCCTTCAGATACTTACCCAGGGCAGGGCAGGGTCTTCAGGGCAAGACTGAGGGGAGAGGCCACTCAAACACTGGGCCTGAGACAGAAGTGAGACATCATAGCTCTCTCTGTACCCATCCATTCCCTTCCTCCCCTGCCCTGGACTATGCCAGCTACCCGCCCCCACTCTCTCCGCTCTCCCTTACCTGCTGAACTCTGGGGGCCGACAGGATGGGTGTGAACTGGGTTTTGGGGCGAACGGCAAGACGCCGCAAAACTGAATACGAGGTCTGGGGAGAGAGGAGGATGGTTAAGCAGGAACAAAACCTAGACTGAGCAGGAGTTCTGCCCTCGCCCAGCCCCCAGGAGTTGTGGATACAAACTGGAGCTGAGGTGCGAGGCGAGGGTACACGCTGAGCCTGTCCAAAGGGTGATGGATGGGCGATGGAAGGTGGCACCACACGGGCAGGGGAGGGTATCAGGTGGGAGGCACGGCCGTCCTGTGGGGAGGAATGAGGTGGAAGAGGGATCACTCCCCCTTTGCATTCCTATGTCTTCTCATTACAGCAGCCAGTACTATTCTATTAAGACCTAATCAAATCCTGGCTCTCCCTTGTTCATCACCCCTCTCCATGGCTTTCCACTCAATCCAAGCAAAAGCCAAGGCCTCACACTGGTTTATAAATCCTTACCCGATGGGAAATTGCCATCACCCTAACCTCACTTCCTGTCATCCTCCTTACTCTGCTTCTGCCTGGCTGGAGTCCTCTTAAACACACGAGGCTCTTCAGGGCCTTTGCATCTGTGGTTCTTCTGGCCTGGAACATCCTTCTCCCAGATATGTGCATGGTCACTCCCCCAGCTCCTTTCGGTCTTCACTAAAATTTCATCTTCTCAATGTGACTGCCCAGACCAATCTATTTGAAATTGCCATACCCTCCTCCCCTACATCCACAACCCCTTCAGTGCCCGCTTTTTTTTTTTTTTTTTTAACCTTATCACCACTGCCTGACATGTTACATATTTTACATATGGGTCTATTTTTTGTCTCCCCCTTCTAGAATATAAACTTATTGACTACTGTGTATCCAGAACCTAGAGTACTGTGGTGTGAATGAATGTCAGGTCTGTCTCATTCTCAGCTCTGATCTGATGGTGTTACAAATCTATACCGGACTGTGACCTCTCAGCCCCAGGCTCCTGACACCTGATAAACAGAGGCTAGTCCCCCTCTGGAGAGGCCTTGGGCCCACGGGGCAAACACAGACTCAGCTAGCATCCCGAGGCCCACCCACAATCCTCAGGGCTGGCTGCTGCCAGAGAATTCCCCCAAACACCTCCCCCGCCTCTCCCCATCCCAGAAGGGACCCATCTCACCCTGGTGTGGGTTATCTCTCTTAATGGTACCCGCTGGGCCAGACCTAGGGGGCCCCCTCCTCCTTCATCAGAGTGGGTAACAACTTCATGTTCTCCTTCAGGGAGAGAGGGAGCTATGAGGAGACAGGAAATTTGCTGTAGTGTCTAGAACAGACACCGATGTCTGGCATAGGGTTTTGCAACCTCCAAAGAGGGTGTGCGGGTTTGGACAGCCCCCACTGTACCATCAGAGGTGGGGACACATCCAGCACCCCCTTGGAGCCCAGCACTATCTCAGCAATCACTTATTAATCTGAACACCCTGAGTGGGCTAGGGGTGTGATGATGGCTCTTAGGGCTGAGGACAGAACAGTGAGTGGAAGGTAAATCTCCTAGGACGTGGCAGAGAGAGGGCTGAAGTGGGGACCACCTCCTTTTACCCAAGAGCAACTGGGCAACCTCTAGCATATCAAGGTTCCTTCCTTTCTGGTTCCTTCTGATGTGGCCTTCCCCTCTCTCCACCACCCCCCACCCGGACCTGCTGAACTTTCTCCCGTCTTGCTCCCGATTGCACACAGCCCGTCTGCCCCTGTTTTCTCCCCATGGCCACACAAACTCACCAGGCTGAACTGAAGTCTCCAGGAGTAATTCTGAGGTCTGGCTCCCTGAAGTCCTGATGACAATAAGGATAGCAGCTAGCAGTCACTGAGTACCAAGTATGAGCTGGGCACTTTGCTAAGTGCTTTACAAACATCATCTCATTTAATTCTTCGCACAACCACCTCTAATGATACAAACATTATCCATATTTGACCGATTAAAAAAAACTGAAGCTTGGTGGTTAGGGCAAGCTTACACAATTAGTAAATGCTGAATCAACCCCAAATTCCATTTATTGCCATCATCTATGCTGTAGCCACTAAGCAAAGGGGATATAGCATTTCTCATTTCTGTTTCTTCTTCCCCCACCACCCAAAAAAACTCGTGTCATACTAAAGCCTGGCTATGGAGGCTGAACCCTATTCCAAGGGTTCACCCTAAGCAGCCACAAGTTTCCCTCTTCCCTTCTGGGTTGGTGGGAAGTCCTAAAGCTACTGGAAGACGCTAGCTCTGAGGGACCCCTGTATCAGACATTGGATCATTCTTTTCTAAATGATCCTTTCTTCCTCACCGGCTGCTGCCACCTGTCCCTCTTCTTAGCTCCTGGAAACTGGGGTGCACAGAGGGGTGAAAGGAACGTCCTGAAGGTGGAATCTGACCCAGGGGAGAAAGAGAAAAAAACAGAGTCAGAGGTGGACCTCAAAACTTCAAGCCTCCACCAGCCCCATCAGCCTCCACACCCTCTCTGGTTCATCATGAGGTATCTTCTCTCCTAAAGCTCAGCTTTGTCCCAGGAAAGAGCTCCCAGAAGCACTGAGTATCAGCCCCTCAAGGGCACTCACCAGAGCCTCTAGCCTCTGGGGACACAAGGTCCGGCCACGGGGTCCTGGTCCCTCCAGCCTCGAGAAGCAGGAAGCCCTGGCAGGGTCCAGTCGGTGGGTGGGAGTTCTAGGGGCTAAATATGCAGAGGCCCGGGCACCCTGACACCACAAAAGAGGCTGTCAGCACAGGCTCAGGAGTCTGTCCTCAGTCCACACCAGCCCGATTTTCTCATATCCTGTCTTATTACCTGGCCTCTACGGATGGTGCCTCCCTGGCTCCCTCGAACCAGTACTCTCTGAGCCAGACTGGGCTGGCGCCCCAGGCGACAGCTCTTCACCCCCTCACCTGACAGGATGGTGGCCAGGGCTGCAGGGTCAGCCACAAACTCTACGGTCCCTGGAGCCTCTGCAAGAGAAGGAAAAGTGAAAAGGAACCAGAAGGAAGAAGGCTAAGGGGCCATGGACCTGAGTATAGTTACCTAGAGGTACAAGAGGGAGCTGAAGAGACTCATATTATTGAACTCAGTTCAGCAAAATTCATAGAACTTTACTTTATGTAAGATACTATTCTAGGCACTGGAGCTCAGAGACGAATGAGAAAGCCCAGCCTCCATCCTCCAGAAGTTACCATCAAACTACAGAGTGGTAACAGACTCAAGCCAAAGTATGGACATGTTATAAAAGAAGTACTACAAAGTACGAGAACACAGAGCAATTGGTTGTGACTGAGGAAGCTGGAAAAGGCTTTAGAAGAGATGACCTTTTGCTGAAAGAAGGAGAGGGCTTCTAAGAGTAGAGAGTTTTCCAGGAGCAGGTTCCAAGACTCTTACAGTAAGCAGATCAGGGTAGTGGAAAGTTCACAAAGGCCGTTCCCCCACCTCCACACAAGGAGACTGTGTTTTCAATCCTACAACAGGTACCTGTCTGGGGAGGGGGCCTAGGCCCCACATTTTGTCCCCCAGGGCTAGGCCTCAGTTCCTCCAAGGGGTTCCGGAGCTGAGTGCTCTCCAGTGATCTTTCTGATTTCTCCGTTTGATGTGTGACTTTTGGCCTGGGGCCGGCTGAGTCGACGGAGCGTTGAATACTGAGCTTCTGCACCAGTCTCTAAGGGAGAGGGGGACAAAAAGCTGGGGTTCAGCTTCGGGGTGCATTGCTGGTATGTGCTGCCTCCTCGTGGCTACTGTCTTCACCCACCAGGCCCTTCTTACCTTTGGATCTTGGTTCTCCTGGTCCAGGACGCGGGGTTTGACTGTAGGGAGAGGCTGGCGTCTCTGAGAGCGTACGGGAATCTTGCTAGGGGTAGGAGATACACCCCTGAGGAGAGGTTCCTTTGTGGCTTGGAGGGTGGTCATGACGGCTACAACTGGGATGGGGAGGAAAGGATCTGGGATCAAAGGTCAGTCAGCCAGTTCGGCGCATCAGTTCTGACATTCCTGAAGCTCCCACCTCCTCCCAAACCCATGAGCCCTGAAGACCGATGCTTCCAAGGCCACTGTTCTGGGTGCCACCTCCAGACATCCCGAGCCTACTCTTTCACCCCAGGACCCGGAGCTGCCTCTCCTCCCTATGAGCCCCGCAGTCCCCATTCCGTCCAAGATCTCCATGCCGCACCTACCTCGGAACCACTCTGGCTCACTCACACTGCCTCCGCCTTTTCCTGACTCTGGCTTCTACGGCGCTCCTTCCCCAGTTTGTAAAATACGCCGAGCGCCTGATTGGCTCTTCTGTGCTCCCGCGGAGGCGCGTGACACCTGGCTGAGCAGTCCAATCCACAGGCTTCGGAGGCGGGGCCAGAAGAAGGACTAGCTGTCGAGCCGCTTTCTGGCCAGGAAAAAAGCTGACCCGACTCAGTCAGCCAATCCGAGAGCGGAGCGCAGGATGGGAGGCGGGATAAGAGAAAGGACGAGGGCGTTCTGAGGCCGGAGAAGGCGTGGCACTCCAAGTGGGAGCCGCAACGGGCACTGCGAACTCTCGCGATATTTCGGGACTGCTGTGACAAGTACGGTTCTCGGGGCTTTGCGGGAGGGGCGGTCCGTCCGGAAAGAGGCTAACGGTGTAGGAGGCTGGCCCGACCCCCCAGAGGCCACTCTGACCGAAAGCAGCGTTAACCTTTGGGGACGCAGTTCCAGACACGTACAGGAAACATCTGCGCGTTGTATCTGGGATGGGAAAGCGCTTCCAAACCGACAGAGAAGGCTGGATGGAATAGAACGGAGCCTAACAACAATAAAAATAAAAATAAACCATCTTTTCCTCGCAGGAGCCTCACGACCCGGCGAGGTGTGGTCTCCATTTCACAGATAAGAAATAAGACTCAAACAGTGTCACTGGAACCCATTCAACACAACAGGCCTGGAGGACTGGGGAGAGGGGTGTCACCGGCCTGTTAATGTCAGGCAGGGGTGTGAAACAGAGGACCAAGAATACCCTGGTGAGAATGGAGTGGTGACCTCTAATGGAAGACGGGGAAATGGGCGATGGTTTCAAGTGTGCAGGACTCTTCTCCCTGACTACAGTGGTTTCTGTTACTCAAGCCAGGAACCAGGAGTTATTTTTGGACTCCTTTCCTTACTCTTACAATCTCTTGCTCACTCTTACTATTTTTCATATCTTTGCAATGCATTTTTCTTCTTCATCGCCACCACCCTAATCCACCCTAATCTCACCTAAAGGATTGCAAGAGTCTCATACCCTCCATTCTCTCTTGCTCTCCACTTTCATGCATTCACCATACAGCAGCTAGAGTCATCTTTCAAAATTGCAATTCTGGTCACGTTATCACTGTGCCTTGACCGTTCCTCATTCACAGTCCCCATCTTGTACCACTCTCCCCCTTGTTCTCTGCTTTCCAACTTCCCAACTTCATTGCCTCTTTCAGTTCTTCAAACTGGTCATGTTCCTTCTAGTCTCCCTGTCTGCAATGCCTTTTTTGCTTCCACTTGGCCTATTTGTGCCTCCAAATTGATATTCACTGTTACTTCCGTATAGAGACCTTCCTTGAACCCCTCTATTCACAATCCACCCTCATTCTAAAAAGATTCCCTGGTTATGTGCTCTCAGAGAACAGCGTTTGTTTCCTCAGAGCATGCATCTTAGTTGGTAATTGATTTTTCATCAGTACGAACATACTCTATTGTGTTTATTAAACTTGGTCCCCTGCTAGACCACCATGAGGGTGGTGACCTTTTATTTTTGGCTTACCATCGTATTTTCAATGCCTTGCATTGTGCCTGGCTTGTAAAGTGCTCAATATTTGTTGAATGAGTCAACGGATGGATGAATAATTGATCAAATGAATGCATGGAGTGACAGGGAAGACCTCTAAGAAGTAATATTTGAATTTCCTCTTGAAAAAGAGAGAAGGCAGGACACCTGGCTGGCTCAGTGGGTAGACCATGCAACTCTTGATCTTGGGGTTGTGAGTTCGAACCCCATGTTGAGTGTGGAGATTACTTACAAATAAAATTTTAAAAAACTAAAAAATAAAAGAAGTCTATCCTAGGCACTCGGAACAGTACCTGCAAAGGAAAAAAATAAAACATGAAAGAATATGGTGTGTTCAGAGAATGGCGAGCTCTTAGGGGTAGATGGAATGTAGGAACAGAAAATAAAACTAGAAAGGTAGTCTGAGTTGAGGGAAAGGGAAGGTCACCTTATTCCACTGGCAGGCACTGTGAATGTGCCAGATTCTAACCACAAGGTCTGCAGGGATGGCTGCTAACAACCATCGTGCACCTACCATGCGTAAAGCCCTTTTTCGGGTGTTTGGGAAACAGGAATAAGGCTGAAGTTTGGAAGATGGGGAGGCACCGGGATGGAGGCTGGCTGCATAGTGGCTTTACGTGATTTTAAGGTAGTCAGCACAGCGCAGGTGTCGCCCTCAGCTTCACAAACCTGGAAATGGGACAGATTGTCAGGCCACCCAGAGTGGATCTAGAGACTGACTCACACTAACCAAATTCATAAGAGAAACTGAGTGATTTATCAAGAGGGTATACCTTCCAATGACCAAAATATTATGCCTGCTCGTCAGGGCATCGCCTTCACAGACTCAAAGTACAAGGGAGATTGATTTTTATATCAGAGAAGTCTTTAAAAGAGCCAATGTCCAGAATATCTGCCAAGCCTGTCAGAGCATCCAACCTGTTTTCTACACAGCGACCAGAATGACCTGCTTCTGTTTGCCTTTGCTGGACATTGTGCACGGGAAGGTACAAGCCACCTCTCTGGTTTTGTTCTATCCCTCCCCACCCCTTATTCCCTATCTGCTTTCTTAGTCCTCTGCCCCATAAACACTAATTGATCTTGGGGTTGTGAGTTCGAACCCCATGTTGAGTGTGGAGATTACTTAAAAATAAAATTAAAAAAAACTAAATGTTGTTTTAACTCTAATGTGCTTGGTAGAATTTTTTTTTTCAATTTTAGTAAATGTGCTGCCAAAGAGAGCCCTTAACAGAAGTTCTTAACTGTGAATGTGTGCTTATAAAACATGTACAGTTGGGGGCGCGTGGGTGGCTCAGTCGGTTGAGTGTCCGACTTCGGCTCAGGTCATGGTCTCGCAGTTCGTGAGTTCGAGCCCCGCTTCGGGCTCTGTGCTAACAAACAGCTCAGAGCCTAGAGCCCGCTTCAGATTCTGTGTCTCTCTCTCTCTCCCCCTCCCCTGCTCATGCTCTGCCTCTGTCTCTCAAGGATGAATAAATGTTAAAAAAAAAAAAAAGAAACATGTACAGTTGTATATTAGTTTCCTGTTGCTGCTGTAACAAATTGCTGCAAATTTAGTGGCTTAAAACAATACCCATTTGTTCTCTTACGGGTCTGGAGGTCAGAAGTCTAAAATCAAGGGGTTGGCACAGCTCCATTCCTTCTGGAGACTTCAGGAGAGAGTCTATTTCTTGCCTTTTCCAGCTTCTAGGGGCTGCCAGCATTCCTTAGCTTGTGGCCTCCTCTTCCAGGACCCTATCCTCTGCTTCTGTCATCACATCTACTACTCAGTGTGATCTGCTTCTCTCTTATGAGGACCCTTGTGATAACACTGGGCGACCCATATAATCCAGGATAACATCCCTGTCTCAATGTCCTTAACCACATCTGCAAAATCCTTTTTGCCCTATAAGGTAACACGCACAGATTCGGGGGATTGAGACGTGGGGATCTTGGGGAGTGCGTCATTATTCAACCTACTACAGTTCGTTTAGTGTCTGTGTTTTTAATTTGTATAAGTGGCATTACCACATGGTTTTGTTTTTACTTTTTTTTTTTTTTCCAGCCAGCTCTGTTTCCAGGATCCATGCTTATTTATTTTTTTTTAATTTTTTTTCAACGTTTATTTATTTTTGGGACAGAGAGAGACAGAGCATGAACGGGGGAGGGGCAGAGAGAGAGGGAGACACAGAATCAGAAACAGGCTCCAGGCTCCGAGCCATCAGCCCAGAGCCCGACGCGGGGCTCGAACTCACGGACCGCGAGATCGTGACCTGGCTGAAGTCGGACGCTTAACCGACTGCGCCACCCAGGCGCCCCTTATTGCTGTATTTAATACAGTCCTTTGCTTATAATAGTTGCATGGAATTCCATGGTAGGCGTCCCTCATACTTTGCTTATCTATTCCCCACATCTATGAACAATGCTAAAGAATTATCCTCTTAAGTGTTCCCCCATGAACCTGTTCAAGGATTTCTCTGGGACAAATATCCCAGAGTGGAATTTCTGGGTCAGAAGGCTTATGCAAGCTTAACTCCGCTAAATACCACCAGATTATTTTCCCAAAGGTTTGTAACTGTTTACACTCTTAATATTACTTGAAGTTTTACCATCTCTCTCCTTTCCAACCCTTGATGTTATACAGCTTTCTAATATTTGCAATTCTAATGGGTATTAGGTGGACTTTTGGTTATTTTCTTTCTTTCTTTCTTTCTTTCTTTCTTTCTTTCTTTCTTTCTTTCTTTCTTTCTTTCTTTTTTCTTTCTTTCTTTCTTTCTCTCTCTTTCTTTCCTTTGAATGTTTATGTATTTTTGAGAGAGAGAGAGAGAGAAAGCACATGCGAGCAGGGGAGGGGCAGAGAGAGGACCCAAAGTGGACTCTGTGTTGACAACAGAGAGCCCAATATGGGGCTCAAACCCACACACCATGAGAACATGACCTGAGATGAAGTCAGACACTTAACTGACTGAGCCACCCAGACGCCCCTGGTTATTCACAATTGCATTTTTCTAATTACCAGTGAGTTTGAGTGTTGCTTCATATTCTTATTAGCCAACAGTGCTTCTCTCTCTCCCTGAAATGCCTGTACGTGTCTCTTGTGCATTTTTTTGGTCATCTTTCCTGTCTTGAGTCTTGCTGATTTCTAAGATTTTACTGTATATTCTGGATAGTAATCCCATGTCCACTTTACACGTTGCAAATATTTCATTTAGGCCTCCAGAGAAATAAAATTGATTTTCTTTCTTCGTTTCTTTTGTAAGTCATCTGTACGCCCAATGGGGGGCTCACACTGATGACCCCAAAATCAAGAGTCACATGCTCTACGGACTGAGCCAGCCAGATGCCCCTATAATTGCTTTTCTTTTTAATTTAATTTTATTTTTTAATGTTCATTTATTTTTGAGAGACTTAGAGCACAAGTGGGGGAGGAGCAGAGAGAGAGAGGGAGACACAGAATCTGAAGCAGGCCCCAGGCTCTGAGCTGTCAGCACAGAGCTCCAGGCAGGGCTCAAACCCGTGAACCCCAACATCATGACCTGAGCCCA